TTAATCCATCTCTGCAGAATTACATTGGGCTGGAAACCTCACCCAAAGGCTGCTCATTCCCAATTATTAAATCAACCACAGAATTAATTTTTTTTTAAGTTGCAGGTTGGTGTGCAGTGAGGCTCTCACTGTGACTTCTAAGTGGATGTGGAAGAGCTCTGTAAATTCCTATCTTCTGACTAATGTGAAAACTTTAATGTTCTAATTTTACTTTAAGGCTTCTGCTTTTTTTCTCTTCTTCTTTCCTCTTTTCTTTTCAATTATGGAAAATAGAATCCAATGATAGAATTAATACAAGCAGACATCTTTGACAATTTCTTTGGGTGTACCTTGTAAACGAAATGATTATAACTGCAAACACATGTTACAACTCAAATTCATGTCACTTCCTCTTTTAAAGTCTTAATTGGTGTTTGGTGCTTCAACTATTATGCTATTTTGATTTTCTTTTGTTGAAACAATAATATTTGGTTATGAGCACTGGGGCACAGATTTGTCCCTTTAACTCACAATACTCACGCGTTGAGACCTACTATCCTTTGACAAGTTGCCTTCTAATCCAGCTACACTGTACTGACCCACAGTTCACACTTGAGCTCCTTTCTCTGACTCTATAAAATGTACACTTTAATTTTAGTCAATTTTTTCCACAAGACTATCTTTTAACTTATTATTTAAAAAATATATTATCTAGAAGAAGAGAAGCACACTGGAAATCAGAGAGAATTTTTCATCGAGTTGATCACAGGATATAAATTTCACTTTATTTTTAAAATTTCTCTAATTATATTTTCATTCATCAATCATATTTTCAAACCATGTAACATTGTATCAATTGAAAAACAGCTTGCAGCTTGTGTGAAATACTATCAAAGAAACAAGCATTCCTATGCAGAGTACCATTAGCTTACATGACTCATCTCTGCTGATTAAAGAAGGTATTCTCAAGGAGAAACCCAATTCAAAGAGTAAACAGAACTATACCAATAGATTTATGCTACAGAACTTGAAATGTTTTAAGGCAAGAAGCAGCTTAGCATGAAGATTAAGAGCATAGGCACTACAGTAAGACAAGCCTGGGCATAAATTCAGCCCAGGTAGGTTTGTGACACCGTGTACCTTTGGGCAAGTCACTTAACCTCTAAGAACCTCCGTTGCCTTTCTGTAGGAGAGGTAATAGCACCCACTTTGTAGGGCTTTGGGGAGGACTACACGAGATAATGCCTGTAGAGTGCCTATTGGCAAATAGCCAGGGCTCCATAAAGGAACCCAAGAGCAAAGAAATGATGTAAACGCCTATCCATGCCGTTTTCTACTTCGATTTTAATAAAGACTTTGGGCAGATGAGTTCTGGGGCAGGTCTTGACTATAGGTAAGGTGTCTGCTCTGGAAGGCGTTATTCCAGGCGAAAGAAGAGAGTATTGCAGAAGGACGGGAGACTCTAACGCATTTATATCTCTCCCTGGTTCTTCATGTGCCCTGGATTCATTTCACTTCCAGGTAGCTCAATTTCATTGTATGTTTAAACAACAACTCTGACCTATCTGACTATCTGCTAGTCTTGTAAAACGGCAGCAGCCATTCCCAGCTTACCTGCACAGGTCTTACACATGGCACATTGGCTTTCCCCTGCCAGGAAACCCAGCTTTTGCTTAACTGCTTGCCATCAATTGACTTGAGTTCAGTGAAATAAAAAATCTTTAAATGTTTATTTTATTTTTGGTGAAAATATACACAGCAGAACACATACCCATTCAACGATTTCTGCATGTACAGTTCAGTGACATTGATCACATTCATGGTGTGCCACCGTTCTTACTGTATTCTCTACTCATATTGTTCACCACCATTGATTTAGACTTACTGCCCCTAAACTTCTCATCTGTGCTTTAGAGTTATCGTTGTCAGTTTGATCTCATACAGATAATTCTTTAAAACAGCACACTGCTCAAGGCAAACAGAAGTCAAAATAACTTTAATAGAAACCCAGACACAACTTATGGATGTGGGTAGCTGCTGCCCATAATTTCAAACATTCTCAAGCCAAATAGAAATGAGTTTTTCATTTCTTTATTGAGCAGCCCCATTAGGATAAACATTTGAGAACTAACTTCATATGAAAAGCGGTGCTTAAGGTGAGAGGTAAGCAGTGAGGGAGGGAATGTGCGGTCTCTCTTTACGCTTCCTGGGTCTGAACCTGAGGCAAACTGCTTTGAAGTGTTTGAGCCTGAGTTTCTCAGACAAAATAATCAGTCTTTTTTTTTTTTAATTTTGGTGAAAGTATACACAGCCAAAGATACACCATTTCAGCAATGTCTACTATGTGCAATTCAGTGACATTGGTTACATTCTTCAAGTTGTGCTCCTATTCTCTCTATCCTTTTCCACACTATCCCACCACCATTATCTTAAACTCCCTGCCCCCTAAGCTTCCCATCTAACCTTTTGAGTTGCCATTGTCAATTTGATCTCACATCAATAATTCTTTAAAAGAGCGCAATGCTCAATGTAGATGTACTTTACTAATTAAAATAAGCTATTTTTTGGTTTAAAGAAGACTTCAGGGGATAGTTTTGGTTAAAGGTTTAAAGATTATCTCAGGGCGATAGTTTTGGGGGTTTGTCCAGTCTCAATGGCTTCAGAAATTCTCCATTGAGAATTTGAAATTCTGTTCTGCATTTTCCCCCTTTATCAGGATTCTTCTATATAATCCTTGATCAAATTGTTCAGTAATAGTAGTCGGGCACCATCTAGTTCTTGTGGTCTCAGGGCAAAGGAGGCATTTGTTCATGGAGGCAACCAGACACGTATTTGATTTCCTCCTCCAGGAAGTCAGTCTTATTTGATGATCTGTCTTTCCAGCTGCCATTAGGTTGACAGTTCCTTTCACGTTGCCTCCTACAGGCTTCTCTCTACTTCCATTGTCTTCCATGATCTTCAGTAGAGGGTACAATAATTAAAAGGAAATGGATGTCCAGAATTTTTTATTCCATACCTCTTATAAAGATTGATAATCAAAATAGAGAAAGAGATACTTGAGTTCTCTTTCATACTTTTCTCTACTGGTTTTTTGCCTTTGAGTGTGTCTCTACACAAGAGAGGTTGATGTCTATATTTGATCTTCAAGTATGGAAATTCTTCTCTATTACCCTACGTTAGGAGAAGGTCGTCCTTCAAGATTGTTAAGAGCAGAGATTGTGTCATATTCATCTCTGTCTCCTCTGCAACATCTGGACAGTGCCTTGAGAGGCACTCAATAAATGTCTGCCAAAGTGAACGGAAATGCCACATAGTATGGACATTTTCTGATCAATAATTTCAGTCTTACACAGAGAACATATGGATACATGTAATACAGAAGAGGGAGCATGGTGTAATATTCACTACACCATAGTGAAAGTTACAGAGAATTTGAAGCAATGAGCTTGCGAGCTAACAAAAAAACAAAACAAAACAAAACTAGGAGCGTATTTTAAGTCTTCCTGATCTGCAGATAAAAGACAGAAATACCTTAATTTATTGGATAAGGGAACATAAGTAAAGTGGCTAGTACATTATTTGTTGTTATTGTTGTTGGGTGCCGTCGGGTTGCTTCCGACTCATAGCGACCTCATGTGACAGAGTAGAACTACTCCAAAGGGTTTCCTAGGCTATAATCTTTGCGGGGGAGCAGATTGCCAGTCTTTCTTCCGTGGAGCTGCTGGGTGGGTTTGAAACGTTGATATCTTCGGCTAGCAGCTGAGCACTTAACCACTGTGCCACCAGGGCTCCTTAGTGCATTATTTAGCAACTCAGAAAATGTTAGGATCCTTCCCAACAACCAGACCACTTGTCAAGTTTATATTCATCACCTGGAGAGTCCATAGTCACATTTCAGCCTACACGTTACTTTCACCTGTCAATCACTCTGTCATTATACTTCAGCTAGGACACCCCATTAGTCGGAAAGTGTCACCTCAGCCTCTACAGTTTCTTTACTTGACAGTGACTTGTGTTCTAGGAGATAATCTGTGAAGATTTATAAGTAACTGGATAATTTTTTTTTTTTTTGCAATTTTAAGTATGAAAAACTTACTAGATTTTTGTATTTTTTTCATATACAGTATTCACTACTTTTTTTGGCAAGGTTGAGTTAAATTCAAGACCTCTGAATAATTCATTTCATATTGCTAATTTTTCTTGTTAAAAGAAAACAATAACACAAGTCTTTAAACTGTGTAAGTTTTCCTTACTTCGTTTCATTACTTTCTGAGAAATTACAGTTTTGGAAAGTGCCTTCAAGCACATAAAAGCTTGACCACCAATGTTTCTCTAGGGGTTAATCTGTCAAACAGCAGTACTGAGATCTAGTGAAACATATTGTATTAATTCATAACTTCTGTCTTCATTTTCTAGATTAGGAATTGCCAGAACGGAGAAATAAGTAGTTCATAAGTACACACATGACAATCTCAGTGAGCTTTTCTATCTCTGGTCTCCTTTGGCACCATTTGGAGCCACATACTACATTATTTGAGCATATAAAAGAAATAGCTCAGCCAACCTCCCTCTTTGTCTTTGCTCCACAGCAGAGACAGCTCCCGTTATCAGATGGCATCCATGATCTCGGGTCACCCAAACAGAAAGGGAAAGCCTGGGGCCTCACCTGTTGCTCTCGTTGAAGTGAAACTGAGCACTTCACGTAATGTAGGACGTGCAATCCCGCATCTCGACTTCATGTCTGTAATTGTTACGCCAGCGGCACGAGATAAATAAGCCCGAAACCCTCATACGAGTCGGATGTCTTAGCCCCCGGTCTCCTGAGGACCTGCTTTCCTGTTATTTTTCCATTCTTGCTGGGGCTCAGCAAGGGGAGAACTTTCTGGTAACCAACACCACTGCATACTATCTTTGCTGAATGAATAGAGCAGCTGAATCCTTTCAACACTGAGAAGTATCTTTAAGGATGTTCAGATAGTTCTTTGTCCTATTGCTAGCTAAAGTTTCATTTTCTTTTGCAGATTGCTAGCACCTTGGTTGTGGCTGACTCTAGAATTTCTGGAATCTACAGTTGCGTGGCTTCCAATAAAGTAGGGACTGCGGAAAGAAACATAAGCTTTTATATCACAGGTAAGCCACGCATCCTACACCTGTATAAACAGCCTGGGGACCCCAGTCTCTCTTCAATTTTGTTTGCTTTCAGTGCACTTAATGCTTGAGTGCATTTTTTTTTTTTTTTTTTTTTAAAAAAAGAACTCTTCATAAGATTGTCGGACTTTGAGTACCTTCATCCTTGCTCTCAGGAATAGAATTCCCCAGCATCATTGGCTCCTGAAGAGTTACTTCCCTGAATTCTCGTGGAGTTATTTGTGTATGTCTCCCTCCCAGGGTGGATTGTGAATTTGGGATCATGTCATATTCTTGACTGAACTCCCTTCAGTCCTGAGCACAGAGTCTGGCACTTAGCAGTTATTCACTAACAGTCAAGGAAATCAACTCAAATTCAGATGATAACATGAATTTTTTTATTTTTAATTGAGAAGCTAATTGTTTCACAACTTAAATAATTTCACCTTTTGGGGAATGAGGCTCACCTGTAGGAACATGAAGCCGAGCGTTGTTAGCAAGATTACATGTTCTGTTTTCTGGTAGCATTTAAAAATTTGAGCTTTAACCCTGATGGTCTCTGCAAATCTTAAGACCTCCAAGGTACACAAGTGACGCTCCCTATGTCCCTCCACGGGCACAGGAAGGAAGTAAGTAGCTCAAAGTATAAAAACAATTGCCTGGCTCCATATGCCCCCAATTTCTGAGGAAACCCGGGCAGCCTGCCAGCTCTCTGGAAACTGCACTGCATGGGGCAGGCTGCAGCAGCTGTCTAGAATTCTCCAGAAAGAAATAAGAAGGTCTGGTTTCATGAGGCGTGCGGGTTGTCAGATCACTGAGAGGCCCTTGGCAAGTTAGCCCAGCCGCAGAGAAGCCGTGCCGTGGGAGACACCCGTGAGTGGATTCTCAGAAGGTCAGCGCTGGGAGGGGCAGGAGAGGTTAGTGAGGGGCTCCCGCACGTTACAGCTGAGGAAACGGGATTTCGAGAGGGGAAGAGGGACATAGCAGAGCTGCTCTAGGCCAGCTCAATATCCTGTCTGAGTGCCCCATATCGGAGATATGTAAGGGAAATCATCTCTGCATCCACTCCAATAAGTGAAATCCCTTTATGTAAAGTAGGACTCAGATAGAGATTTTAAGTAGATTGGTTTTCTAATCAATCTCAGCTGATTCCAACTAAGTAAGTACAAAGGTTTGTATTGTCCTTGTATTTCGTTGGAAATGAGTTAGCATCCAGATCCTTAACAACTGTACGTCTGATTCAGAGCACACGGCTCCTGTTCTGAACGGATATCCATTAAGTTGGCAGAAGTTTAATGAGTGCTAACTATTACGCAGTCTAATTCAACTCTGTGCTGTACACTTGATATCAGCGTAGCCCCATCTTTCCAGGAAGACAGTTCTAGCAAAGAAGATACAAAGAAGAAATGTTAACTCATGTATACACTAGTATCAAAATGTCTGTGCAGAAGTAATGTCATGGATATTATCATTTCAACATGTAATCAATATTTTAAAAAAATACACTGCTTCAGTCAAATTCAGTTCTTCAGTCACATTAGCCTATTTCAAGCGCTCAGTAGCCACTCGTGCTGTGAAGTTCTAAGCCTCTGAGGAGGAAGCAGAACTTGAGGTGGTCCTTCGAGGGGGACAGAATTTGAATGGGTTGAGAGAAAAGGACAGGCTTGCCCTGAGATTTTCAGAGCCAAGGTAAGAGTGCTAAGGGAGGCCTACAAACCATATGTCTAACTGCTTACAAGTTCTAAATTAAGCTAACAAACTGTTAAATATGTGCCAACTTCCTGTGGACAACTATACCTCCATGATGACCTGAAACCACTACCCAACCCATTGCTGGCGAGTCGATTCTGACTCATAGTGACCCTATAGAACAGAGTAGAACTGCCCCATAGGGTTTCCAAGGCTGTAATCTTTATGGAAGCAGACTGCCACATCTTTCTTCTGATGGTTTCCAACCACTGACCTTTCAGTTACCAGCCCAGTGCTTATCCACTGTGCCACTAGGGCTCCTCTGATGACCTGAAAAGCTAGGTGCAAATTTAGAACTCTGGGACTCCTCAGAGCTCCACAGCAGCATGGGACAGCACCTGGCAGTGCAGAAGGAGCTCACCCCTGGCTCACCTGTCTTCTCCTCCCAAGCCTCACTCGGTCCATGCTGTGAGTGGCTGTGCCCAGGTGGATGGTCTCCCTAGCCCACACGTTCAGACTGTCCACACCCTTCACAAACAGTGTTCGCTTGGCCGCTTCTGGGCCTGGAAGTGTGCACACTGAGAAGCAGCCTCACCTCAGGAGGCCAGGCCTAGGGACGAGGAAGGGGACCTGGGCGTACCTAGAGGCAAGCTTGGGATCATTTGAACAGGGAATTCTGGAATCCCAGGTACCCCGACCACAACGTGGAAGTGGAGGAGGCACAGGCTCTGGGTACCCCACAGATTCTTCATACTGTAGGAAGGGGAACAGCCAGACAGAGCCATTTAAAAGCCCAGGACAGGGACTCCTCTTGCCGGAGTCTGAGGGAAGTACTGGACGCAAATGTGCTAAGGGTGGTGGAGAACATCATGCTCATTTCCTTACTGTCCAGAGAGTCCCCAAGAGAGGTTAACTGATGGCTGGAATTAATTACAACACCACCATCTGGCCCATCCCACTGACTTTTTAATTGTTGGATCATATTTCTGCACATGACACTTATTGAAAGGCCCCAGCTGATAAAGTTGAACGCCTGCTGAATTCACGCAGAAATCTCCTCCCATCCCACCATCTCTGTCAGGGGCAGATTATCCAATAGGCAAGGTAAGCACGGCGATTACCTTGCTTACCAGATCATTTGTAGTGAGAAGTTTCCCATTTTTTTCATCACATCAAAGATTCTGCTTCTAGGTATAGCTGGCATCTGTCTCTCTCCCAACCTCATAGCACCTTCCTACAGAATCAAGCCTCTTTTCCAATTTACAATCCCAGACAGGGGAGGATGACCCAGTAAGCAAGGTAAGCACCGGCTTACTTGTGCTTAGTTACCTATGTGAAATTGTTCACTACAGATGATCTAGTCAGTAAGGTAAGCACTGTGTAATCCGCCCCGACACAGTATACAATGTATAGCCATGGAGTACATGAAACCTCTTCTAGATCCCAAGCCTTGCCCATAGAAAGGCATATGAGCATTCCATTTGAACATATCTACTTGGAGAAGCTCACAACGCTTTTCCTCTGCAAATTCAAGAACTTTACTCTTAAAACTGAGCACGTGTTCAGCCTGTCAATCCCCTGTCGCCTAGACTAGACTTTCTCTGAATTTAAGATTCTCTACCAGTTCTGAGAAGCTCTATTTTTATTGCTGAGAATAGGAATTTTGCTTACATTCATGTTTTTAAACGAATAATTATCTTTTTTTCCCCCTCACTCAAATCTTTGTCCCAAGATGTGTTCTTCCTAGAGATGTGACTGACCGCTCTTAGGAATGTGGCCCCTTGCATGTTTATTTTCTGAACAAGGAATGTGTATTGGCTCAGTGTTTGTACTTGACTCAGGAAGGGGAATGTTGTAAAAAAGTGCCTTTCTAAAATTCAGCTGCCCTGAATCAAAAGCTCTAGATCTGGGTCTTTATAGAAGCTCGTTTCAGTCATGTTGCCCTTCCTTAAAACACAGTCATCACTTAGAGTTGCCTTCCAAAGTGATGGAAACCGGTTAAAGTGGCCATCCCAACCCTCCACTGGTCCGACTAAACGTTGGCATTTGCTTGTACATAGCATCTACTTGAAAGAGGCAAACTTTCTAGCAACCACTCGCTTTCTTTTTAAAGAATGTGATTTCCACGCTCCAGTGGAAATAAAGTGCTCATGGAAATAGTGTTCTTATTTCCACCTGACAAATGAGATCTCTTTCATCCTTTTAAATTTCTACGCGTGTTTCTTTCACGAACTTAATCCACATGTATGGCCCTATATAGTCAAAATATCCACCCTCCCAATACACGCTTCTGTAAATAGGTTACTTTCATCTGGCCCTAGGCTGGTTGTCCTTTTCGATCAAGGGTTGATTCTTTTCCATGGCACCTCATCAGATGCCAGGCGTGTGGTATGTGCTAGTTGGTGATGGTGATAACTGTGCTGAATCTGCAACAGATCCGTAAGTGTGGGAAGATTTCTTGTTTTCACTTTGAGGGTTAGAAGGCAATTCCTTCTTGGGTCTGCTTTTATACTCAGGCTTAAAAAAGAAAATCTACATGAATTAAGAGAAAATCCCTCTGGATTCATTAAATCACTTGGGACATTTTATTTATCCTCTTCCATGGATCAAAAGAGGCTACCAAGGAGGCTCCACTGAGAAATAGATAATCATTTCAGAGAGGCTGTCTGGTAAGAGAAGTCAAATTAGCTTCAGTGACAGTGTCCCCCCCCTCCCCCACAAAAACAAACAGACCTCAGAACGGACTTGGTTCTTCTCTTTTCCGATGTGTGTGTTTTTGCTGTTTTGCTGGCACTCAGCATGACTATGGGTGTGTTAGCAATTACTGAGGGTGAAACAGGAACAGCACTGCCTTATCTCCCTGGTTTCCCAATGTCACTAAATGCATTTTATTTTGAGATTCCTGGTGGTGCTTGGCAAAGATAAACAAAATCTTCCATCAGGAAACCTGTGAGCTATTTCCACGGGAAGTTTCAAAGCACTAAAGTAAATAGAAACTCTCTACATGATCTCAATGGTGTTACTTGGGCTCACTTGGGTTCTAACAACCAGAATGAGACCTCATAAATGGAAAGGCTATGATCTTTAAAGAAAGGATTTGATTGCAACCAGGCATTATACTTCTGCTCTGGTGCTTGTGCAGAAGCTGATGGCTGATGTCTTACTCCTCTTGCCTGGAAAATGTCCCCAATAGAAAAAGATGCTGAACTAGAGCAGCTGTTTCTGATACCTTATTGTTAAGCGCTTGGCTGCTAACTGAAAGGTTGGAGGTTCGAACGCATGCAGCAGCTCCATGGGAGAAAAGACCTGACAATCTGCTCCTGTAAAGATTACAGCCTAGAAAACCCTATGGGGCAGTTCGAAAATCAACTCAATGGCATCTAACAACAACCACATTGTTATGTTAAACATGACTGCCAGCTGCTCCTGCATCTTCTGGTACCTTCTTAGATTTTTGCCTTAAAAGCAGGAAAACCTCTACTGGTCTCCGCTCTCTCCCCGACCACTGACAGCTTCATAAGCTGCTGTTACCCACCGCTCCCAGGTTTCAAGTGAATACTTGGCATTCCTTCAGACGTGACACTTTATAATGCAGCCAAAGCCCAGCAAAATCAGAAAAACAAGCAAAGTGAGATTTAGAAAAAGAGTTGATATGATATCTAATTTTGGACTATTGTCCCCTTAAGGTTTAAAGGTTTCTTTATAGCTTTGTGTGCAAAGGATAATAATAATAATAATAGCATAACATAGTGCTTTTCATCTTCAAAGTACTTTGTAGAATGTTGGCCCAAATTCTTTGCTCAAATACAGATACACCACCAGTAACTAGTGATGGGAGGGTTCTGAGAGCAGGTCTGTTCAGGGTCGGTAACCAATGATTTTTAAAAATCCTCTGGTGAAACCGTCCAAAATAACAGACTAAGGACCTCTCAGCCCAAAATTTAAATGCTGGTCCAGGGTCGGAACACTGAAGAGGAGAACTCAGGAGCTCTCGCCGGAGGCCTTTTGGAGGTGGAGATGAAGGTTAGCTGGGAAATGACATCGGAGAAAATGGTCTTTAATGACATAGTCACTTTTAGAAAATGCTTAAAATGTTTTTGAGACAAAATTTGATTTTTTTTTTTTAAGTTACTTTCCACGTACCCCCACCCCACTGTGGAATCTGGCAACTCTTCCAGATTTGTTGTCTACATTTTCAAAAGAAATCTTTGCTGTTTTCTGTCAGAGCAAGTAAACGGGCTCTTCTCTGACCTACTGTACCAGCAAAGACCAGTGGAAATCATCTGAAACAGCAGTAGGAGGGGCTGGCCGTCAATCAAATGGCAGGAAATTTGGGAAACCAGTTGTTTTTCACTGGAAAAGTTTAGCACTGAAGTGGGGTTGACTGGCGTCATGGTCTCCCAGCATGCCCCTGGGACTTCCTTTTCTCTATTGCTCCCGCTCAACAACCTATTCTGGATAAGTTTGACCAGAAAAGTATCTTTGGATTTTACTACAAACAACTCACTATTTTGCCCTCTTCAAATGCCCATTTGCTAGAAGGAGTACTGTATGTGATAAAGAAAATGGGAAACATGGTTATCATCCCAAGTTAGAAACTCCACTTTGAAGAGTAACTTTGGGCAAATGAGGAGAAAGTACTGTCTTACTGTCGATCCTATTTTACATTTCCTGCCTCACTTTTGAGGGAATGGCCTTCATTGGTTCCTGCCTGCTGTGTTTCATTGGTTTCCCCCAGATAAAAAGATAAATGCTCACCCTTTTAATGGTGACCCTGAGAGGATTTGTGTAGGAACAGCTCTTAAGAGCCTAGAATGAGGGTCTCATGGTGAGACACTGGTTTTTTTGTGCACTGAAGCTCTTTATTCTTGTTTTATAGATGTGCCAAATGGATTTCATGTTCGCTTGGAAAAAATGCCTACGGAAGGAGAGGACCTGAAACTGTCTTGCACAGTTAACAAGTTCTTATACAGAAACATTACTTGGATTCTGCTGCGGACAGTGAATAACCGAACAATGCACCACAGTATTAGCAAGCAAAAAATGGCCGTCGCCAAAGAGTACTCCGTGACTCTGAATCTGGTCATCAAGAACGTTTCCCTGGAAGACTCAGGCGTCTATGCCTGCAGAGCCAGGAACATATACACAGGGGAAGAAATTCTTCAGAAGAAAGAAGTGACAATCAGAGGTGAGCACTGCAACAAAAAGGCTGTTTTCTCTCGGATCTCCAAATTTAAAAGCACAAGGAATGATTGTACCACACAAAGTAATGTAAAACATTAAAGGATTCGTTCAAAAGTAACAGTTGTCTCATATCACCTTGATTTATTGTCACTGTTGCTAACTTTCAGGCTTCGAGGACATGCTCCTCCCAAAATGAGTTTGGAGATGATAGGAGTAATAATGAGACCCCGAGGTCCCAGCCTGCGGGCTCCCCGCTCAGGCCGAGGGGTCTGCTCTCTGTGCCCGACCTGGTGCGAGTTTGGATTTGGAGGATCCCTGCGCTTCATTTCTGTGTTTGCTCTTTGCTGTCTTCTCCTGCCTGATAAACAACAACTGGGGACTGACGCTTTTCCTTCCACTTTGATGCCAACCTCTTTTTACTGTTACGTTTCAAAGTTGCACAAACTGAATAATTTAAACAGATGCTGGTTTCTGCCAAAGATGGACGTTGAATAAGTTCATTTTCCAGCTCAGGATGAATCCAGTTGAATTCGAGACTCTGTTGGGACCTCTGCCTGGTTTTATTTTGTACTGTTTCATCTGCTCTTGATTTGTAAATAGCACCTGGATAGAAAGTTATAATGCTTATTTATTTGAAAATGCTTTTTTTTTTTTTTTACATTAAGCACATTGATCTTAAACTGGAGCTTCTAATTTCGGCCCCAGTGGGGCAAGATGTTGGTGTAACTCAGAAATGTTAAAGCTTTACCACAATCTGAAGGATGAAAGTCCAGCCAAATCAACGCCACCTCCCTCATCCCCTACCATTCTGAGTAGCTAGCACAGGGGTCCGGCAAAGGGATGCCTCCTCACGGCCTCCATTGGACCATGTGATTGCTGAGAGCACCCGAAACAAAGTGGGCCACACCTCGATTTTAAATATTTCTGCCCCCTTGTTATTCTCTTAAAGGGCTTTACCATGCTGAAATGATGACATTCACAAATGTACCACCCTCAGTTCATCCAGGAATTCAAGACTCTTGTGACCAGGGGTTTAATGCATTCTTCCAAATGTCAATTTACAATGTGTCCATTAAAAAAGTCCTCTTTCTCCATATGCAAAGATTAATGGGATTTTTTACCCCCTATGGGGAGTAAGAAATGGTAACAGTACAGAAGCAGAATCCAAAGTCATTTAAAAATACACACCGTGGAGAGAGATTTGTTTGAAGCTTGCATTTGAGGAGAAGGTGACTTTTCCACCAATTTCATATGCATTGTTATGTTGTTTGCATTTATGATTGATCATTACATATGACTTGCATATAGAAAAACAAACTAAATGATCAAAATAGCTGTGGCTACAAAACAGAGTGGCTGGGCAGTTCACTGGGAGGAGACAAATAGGACAGCTTTTCAGGCTTGGGAACTCACCAGACTGTTTCCTCCTTTAAGGAACAGACTCTGTCCCACGGCTAAACTTGTCTTTCACTTGGGAATTGCTTTTGTCGAGTGTGAAAGAGTAAACAATAGCGTTTCCCCAGAATGCCAGTTTTATGGAGCCCCAAATGCTCTGAAAACAATTAGTAACCTGGAAGTTGTCAACCCAGAGGAAAGAATAATCAATTGTATCTTGAAATTTTACCTATAGCTCTTTGGCCAGGCGTCTTTGTTCATTATAAGTCAGCATTATAAGTCAGTGTGTGTGTTCCTTCAGGAAACAATGCCTCAGTGCCATGGAGCTTGGAAGCCTCAATGTTTAACTCCAGCTAAAAAAGCAAATGGAATGATTGAGGGATTGCTAATGGAAAGATGGTGAGTTGGACACGCAGAACTCACCACAATTTCCTTCCCCTGAAAATTGCCGCAAGCCATTTTCGTGGAGAAGGGGATGATGTTGGTGTTTACAGGAGATGATTTCAAATATTCCCAAGAAATGATTTTAAGATTTCCGTAAACTAATTAATTTTTCACTATGTAATGAATTCTTTCCAGAGAGTTTCCAAAAAAGAAAAGAAAGAAACAATGGGGTGGAGTTTTCATTTTTTTTTCACTAGCTGCTCTTTGGGTGTGGAGTAGGGTGAGGATAACAAGGAAAATGAGAAAGGAAAAAAACAAAAACAAAAACCCTTAATATGGAGAACAATTGAGATGGAGTAGGGGGTGTGAGGCTGGTTCCTTAGTCCCCATTCCAAATGGAGAATAGAAACTATGGTTTTATGGGACCTGGCAGATCATTGAAAAGTCAAATAAGAAACTGGTGGGGAGCTATCTTTGGCTGTTAATAACCAGCACAAATATGCGTTAATTCTGATTTTTCTCAATTTGAAGAGATCAGCCACACTTGGTTAAATCTGGGAAATCAGCTATCAACTTTCATCAAGCAACTTAGATTTTTAAAACATGGTTTCAATGTGCCTTTCTTATTTCAAATGTCAAAATAACTGTAATGTAAGAAGTGGAAAGTGACAAAATATGATGTCTCGGTTGATTCATGTACAAAACTGGTCACTTAGAAAATAGCCAAAAATCAGACTTTTCACAGAGGAGAAATGGGTACAAAGAAAAAAAAAAATACTGTATGCTTCAGATGTGTCCACGTGTGCCTCGTATGTAACTGAGAGCCCTGTGTTTCTTCTGCAGCTTCTTGCTGCTTCTGCTGTCTGAAGTTTGCGATGGACGGATAGGGTCTTTGGGAGTTCTTCATCACATTTTTTGTTCAAATAAAAGGTCCTTTTCTACATCAGCATTGTTCTCCAGTACCCTTGTCAGGGAAGTCCAAATACTATCTGCGTTGATGATGTTATTGTTGGTAGCTGTGAAACAGTTTGGATGTTGTGAGCCCTATAATCGGATTTCCTTTTTATAATAAGGCATATGGGCAACGACAGATCATTTCATCGTATTTATTGCATGGGAAGTAGTAATGTGCTAGGGGAAGCTGTTAGAAGTCTAACTCAGTGGACCGACCTGAGTTTTAAATGAGATATATCAGAATTGTCAAGCCACTGTAAAAGACACTCAGTAGTAACATGATACTGTTCTTTGTTATCTTGTCATCTTTCACCGATACGTCTGGGGTCTCTGTGCTGGAAAAATGTCAAAATTGTAATGATAAGACCTGTACAAGTTACCATCAATTCAGAGTTTCAACACATGGCTGCATTTTCAATGAGAAAAAGCTGTTTGACAGAGTGCGCAGAAGGCCAACAGAGAAATATTTTCACGGTCCTGCCTCTTGGGGGCAAGATAGAACAGGAAAGATGTACTGGCATAGGCTGAAAGAGAGTTGCTATCATTTATCCCACATTGTGTGGGAAGAAGGGTTTATAAGTCAGAGCACTTTAACACTCTTCTTGCCTTCAGAGTCTCATTCTGTATAAAAGGAGAGCACACTAATAATAAGCTGTGGAAATCTTAATTTCATGAGAAATCTGTTTCCTAACAGACAGTAACCCTGCCATGTTATACTACTTAAGCATGTTGGGAAAGTTGTATGATCGTATTCTGTTTCACCTAGGATTTTTACATTGCTTTAGTGAGTGCTAACCCTGATACCTACAGGGAGGAAAGGAGAAAGGTTTGGGGCTCAGCGGACTCCTGCAGGAGCCGTGGAATCAAAGACACTGAAATGTATCATCTCTGTAGCACTGTATTCATGCCTAAGCAGCTTTCACAGTTCTAGTACACTGAGCTGAAGACATGAAAACTTGTCAAAGAAAGCTCTCGGGTAATCGAAACCAGTGATGAGTAGCATGTGTAAGTGACACCAACACTCTTTCAATTTCTGTTCCAGGATTTGCAACAAGGGTCGGGGGGAGAGGGATGATTTGGGAGGGTGGGAAAGACTGTAGGAATTGTTTTTATTCCTTTACCTTGGAAGCTTGGGGTACCAATCCAGTACCCACCTAACTAGAATGTACATGTATCAGCAGGACTGACTTAGTTACTTCGTTCAGTAGAAACACTGTACTCATTGGGGGCTTTGGGAGTGCTGCTGTTCCTATGTGGGATTTCAATGTTGTAATGTATTGCATTCTAATGTATTAAGTTCATTTTGTTGTACTATATTGGTTGGCATTTTATTAAAATAAATTGTATTGTATCATATGTGTATGTTTTAAGAGAAAATAATATAAAATACAATATTTGTACTATTATATAGTGCAAAAACTACAACTTCTGTGCCTTTGCCTCTTGAATTCATTCTTTGGACTTGCATTTGGGGAGGGAATGGAGGAAGGAAATAATCAATAAAGCTTTCAAAGTTTAAGAAATACTCCTGTTTGGTCTGCTGCCTTGCAATTTAGGTTACTGACAGTTGAGTAACACAAACACACCTCACAAACACGTGAATGAAAATACTCACAAAATTATATTAGCCCACTCTTATGATGTTATATGTTTATATGAAAAGTCATTACAAGCCTAGATACAAAATCTTGCTTTTCATTTACATCTCCTAAAATATTGGGCAAAATCCTTGGGATTTGGAAAAGCTTATTCCCAGAAGAGGAAGGAAACGAGTTTGAAATTTGAAAATACAGAGTTTAGTTCTCGATTTGACTCTGTCCTAACAAATTTCAATTTATTGTCGCAACTTCTTGAAGACGGAGCAGTATGTAAACCAAAAAAGTGAAACTTAGGGAAGAAAATACCAGTGGAAACTTACAGTTGGGTTTTGCTGTTTCTGTAAGATTTAGGATGTTGGTTGCATATACAATAAAAGAATAAAACCGATGAGTAATCACGATTCCATTTCTTTATTTACTAGATCAGGAAGCACCATACCTCCTGCGGAACCTCAGTGACCAAACAGTGGCCATCAGCAACTCCACCATTCTAGACTGTCATGCTAAAGGTGTACCAGAGCCTCAGATCACCTGGTTTAAAAACAATCACAAAATACAGCAAGAGCCTGGTAAGAGATGTGTTTTTTCCTTGACTTTACTCTTTCTCATCCTCTCCTTCCCCAAGCATTCCTATCGGCTTCTTCCAGTGTATCTAGAATCATCTTCTGATAGAGCTGAAAACACTTGGACTCTCGCTCATACTTATATCAACTTCCGATGAGGAATATTTGGGCGAATTCTTACACAGACCATATCCCTGCCCCATAGAAAGATCCTTACAGAATCTATTCAACTGGAATGCTGCTTTAAATAATGCATTCAGAAAAAGAAAATGGTAAGAACCACTTAGCAAATGTTGCCATTCATCCTGACAACTGAGACAGTGAGGAGTTCGTTTCTGGACTTGAGGTCCAGCAGAGCTTTGAACATCTGCCATCTATAATGTTCAGAAAAGTAGATTTATATTCTTTTTAATTCACCTACACCAATCTTAATTATTTGATAAAAATAAGAATGTTTTAAATCATATTTGTCATATTGTTAAAAGAAAATCTAAACTAATGGCTATGAGTTTCTTTCAATAAGAAATATTCTTGAACACATCTAGACTGAAACCCTTTTAGATAGCTACTCACAGAGTTCAGCTGGGTATAGGAATTCTAGTAAGTATAAACACTGTTGCCTTCCACATAAGTCTATGGTTAAATAAAATTAAATTGAACTTATCTAGAATTTTGCTTAATAATTCTACTTATAATAGTTTATTTGCAATATTCCATCAGCCTAAATCAAATAAGTAGCAAGATGGAATGGCCCTTGAATGTTAGTTCTCTAGTCAAAATGAAACTGCCATTTGAATTTGATGCACTGAATGGAGTTGTGGTATAATGACTCCAAATGTGAAGATACAGACAAATGTCTTAGAAAGGCCTTACACTCAACAGGTCCCAAAAATGATCATAGCACATCTTTTTTTCCCTATAAACTAGCACCTTCTCTTCTACTAACATCATATACTTAATCATCCACATTAACAGGTGATGGCCTCTCCTTGATGCTCCTTATCTGATCAGTCACCAGGTTGAGCAGGTGACAGCTACTACATATTTCTCAAATCCATCCTTTCTTCTGCTTCCTATTGTCATTCTCTTGGTTCAGGTGCTCATCATCTATCCCATGAACTTCTGCAGTAGCTTCCTAACTGGTCTCCCCACCTCCCTTTTCTCTCTTTGCATCTCTCTTCCACACAACAGTATAAATGCAGCTATGAATATATCACTTCCTCCTTCAAGTCTCCCAGTGGCTCTCCATCACACAGCATGAAGTCTGAGCACCTGAGAGAGAAGGCTCTCAGCACCTGGCCTCTGCCAACTCCTACAACTTTATATCCTTCATCCCCTGCCTTAAGCTTTATATACTGGCAATGCCAGACTCTTGTAGATCCCTGCACATGTTATGCTGCCTTATCCTCCTGTGCTTGTATTCTTGTCTCCCCTTTGACTGGAGGACCATTCCTTCCTCTAATGTCTACCCATCCTTAAGACCCAGATTGCGTGGCCTCCCTCCAGAGGGGCTTTCTCAGCTCCCACAAAGAGAAGGAAGCTCCTCCATGCTTCTTTATTACTTATGAATGTTTCTTCTTACTGTATTGTTTTATAATCATCAGTACATACATGTCTGTGTTATCCGTGCTTATTTCTACTACTCTCTTATTATTTTTAATTATCAGTTCATGTGTGTCTCCCCTCCTTGAGGGCAGATAATGTATCTTATTTGTCTTGTTTATATCTTATTTGTCTTTATATCCTCATAACCTAGGATGATGCTTGGCAATCAATAACTATTTCTGGAATGAATGAATGAATGAATAGTATTCAGAAGATGTTATTCTATACTTAAGAGGTTCATTTGGTAGCAGAAATACCTGGACTTGAGGTGGGGTATATCACAGAATTTTTAAAGCTGGAAAAGACTTTTGGAATATCTTTAGCCCAATGAGTAGAATAGAAAACTTAGGCCCAAAGAGATATAGTGGTTTGCCCAAGATGACGCACTACGAGGATGTGTATTTCCAAAGCAATTTTTTTGGAACAGTAATCCCTTGAGGTGTTCTACCAGAATAAAAAGATGAATGAATACATGGGTAAATAAATTAATTCATTAATAGCTTGTGAAACAAAGTGCGCAGTATTCCTCCCTTAGAGATTCAGAGCTCACGTCAGCATTATCACAGGCCCAAAGAAGTCCTATTCTAAGGAAACCTGGTAAACTGTGTTTATTAAGCTCTATTTTACCCAAACTTCTTGATCACAAAATACAGTTTATGAAATGTTATCGTAAGATGTTTGGTAGTTCTCTGAAAGAAGCAAATTTGACTTAAGTTCAGTTCTTATACCTTGGATATGGGGTAAAGAATCAGAGTTGGACCAATTCTGAAAGCTCATGGCCACTCTGGGACTAGAGGATAGAAAAGCAAGAGAGTGTGCCAAGCCAGATCCTCATTGCTGCAAACTCAAAAAGATCATGAGATGTGGGGGAAGACCAGGGTTTGCTTTCATGGGTCATACAAGAATTTGGGCAACTCATTTACACTTACTCTCTGAGCCACTATTTCCTTATGTACAAAATTGGGATAATAGTGACCACACAAGGATGTTGTTGTTAGTTGCTATTGAGTTGATTCTGATTCATGGTGACCCTACGTGTGTAGAGTAGAACTGGTCCATAGAGTTTTCAAGGTTATAACCTTTCAGAAGCAGATCGCCAGGCTTGTCTTCTGAGGTGCCTCTGAGTGGGTTTGAACTGCCAACCTCTCAGCTAATATTGGAGCACCTAACCATTTGCACGACCCAGAGACTCCTACACAGGGATATAATAAGGTTTAAATGAGTTAGCATAACTCAACTGGCCCATAGTCACTGCTTAGTAAATGCTACCTTCTGACTCACTTCGTTTAGATAGAAACTCAACAGTGAGTCAGAGTTCATTGGAATGGTGTTAAGAGTTCATAAATAAGTCAGCTCAAATGTCAAACAACTCTAAATCTAATAAAGATAGCTTCCTCCCAGCCTTCTTTGATTTTCTGAGGGCCAAAACAAGAATATCCAAAGAGAGTTTTATACAAATTCTTATACAAAATCTTTTCTAAATACCACTTTAATATGCTGCTGTTAGCATTTATTAGCATTTCTTGAGCTCAACTAGGCTAAGTTGTCGGTTGTTGGTATTTGATCTCTCCCTCTTCCCTTCATTCAGTCTTTAAAACTACTGTAGCCGTTTGGAAATGGATTTCTTATGTGTATATCATGTTTGTAAAGTTTTATATGCAATATTCCCATTTAGGGCAGCAAATGCAGTAGCTAAAGCAATGTGCTCCATGACTGTGATCCCTACGGTCATGCATAGTTATTCTTTAAAAACACCAACTCTTTTATGGGTCTTTTTTTACTCTTTTATGAGTGAAGATTGCAAGTAACCAAAGTGGTAACCGTCGACTCACCATCACTCCAAAGCTGAGATGGAACTAATAGTCTACCCTGCGACCAGAAAAACTAGATGGTGCCCGGCTACCAGGGCCACATTAGATGGATCCTTACAGAACAGAGAAAAATGTGGAACAGAACTCAAATTCTTAAAAAATCCAGACTTACTGGACCGGTTGAGAGTAGAGGACTCCCCGAGACTCTCGCCCTAAGATACTCTTTAAACCTTAAACCAAAATTATCCCTTGAGGTCACCTTTTAGCTAAATAACGGATTGGCTCATAAAATAAAGAATATCACCCATGAGTAACGAGCTTCTGTAAGAAAAATCATCTGTAGGAGACCACATGGTCAGCAATTACTCTAAAGCAAAGATGACACGGTAAGGGGGCAGGGAAACCAGAGTACTGGAAATGGTACAACCAAAACAGAATGAATGAGAATAATGACACACTGTGAAAAATGTAGCCAATATCAATGAATAATTTGTGTAGAAATGGCTAAATGAGAACCTAATTTGCTATGTAAACTTCCACCACAGACACAATAAAATAAAAAAAAAATAAGGCTGAGATGGAAAAACACCAAGATCATGCCCGGAAAAGCCTTTGGAAAGCTAGACTGAGTTCAAAATAAACTGTATATTCTTTAGAGACCTGAAGCACATCTTCTGTGTGAAACCTGGCAGCTCAAAGAGAATTTATATTCTTGAGAATTTTTTAGTGACCTTGGATCATTGCTCGGCTCCCACCCATTGTCATTGTTACTTGTGAAATGACAACTTGCTCATTCCAAGGAAAATAGGAGAGAAGAAGTCGTGCACATGTGAGAGCTCACGCTCTGGACAAGTGGCCGTAAAATGCCGGTTGAAACAACTTAGGGTAGATGGGACTTTCTTTTACCCTTCTCATTTCCTCTTTGGAAAAATCTTTCAATGGGGCACAGCCATCCTACAGAAGAAATACAATTTCAAGAAAATGTTATGAAAGCTGAGTAGTAAATTCTTGGTCCAAAGGGCATCAAGCAGTAACAAAAGGGACCCTAAGCATGCAGGTCCAGGGAAGCAGGTGTTCAGGGGGCTTGTGAGGCTGTCTCAGCCAGGGCAATCTGAGCGAGAAGAGAGCTGGTGCCCTGAAAACCATGGTGGCCCAGAACACCACAGCGCGTGTTCCCGTTGCCCGCCACACTCATTCAGGACAATGGCACCAGTCTTCAAGGACCTTCATGGAATGACCTCCACCTGCTCATCACAGTTGACTTCCCATCACCCCCTGGTGCCCATTTTCTCCTCTTCGCCCCCTCACGCCTCTGGGCCACAGGCCTGCTTTAGTTCTTCCCTGGAAAGCGCTCTCTCCTCACACTCTCTCAATTCTCCCTATCCCACCGGAATTCCTGCCTTCCGCATGAATCCTTCTCACACATTCCAGGGCACAAGGATTCTTTCTCTTCTCTCATGTCCACTTTTAGTTACAATTCGTGCCATAGAGCATATCACTTCATTCTTCTCTGGCTTTGCATGCTTGTTTTTAAAACCTTTGAGAGTAGATACATCTTAATATGCCGTCTTTACTTAAAAAAAAAAAAAA